TTGTACTTATCCTCCTTGTATTTATCCATATGTTGTAGTTATCCTAATCATTATAGGATTAGGATAATCATCCCCTTTATTTGTAGCAATCCTTATCTCCTAAGGAATATGCTTTATTCTCTTGTATGTATATATATATGTGTAACCACGTGATTAATAATACAATGAGAGTTACAACAAACCTTCTTATTTCACAACAGACCGAAGAATATCACCACTAATCGGAAAATAAAGTTAATAGCAAAAAACACTGTTTTTTAGTTTTTTTTTTTTACCCTTGACACTATAACCAAAGGTTCTTATACTATTTGTTTATTTTCGGATTTCTCATATAGTATGGATATATAATATTATACTATAAGATATATGATACTAAATTGATAGTTTAACTGAGTTTAAATACATTTATCATAGAATTTGAAGAATATAAAGAAATAAGATTTTTATGGGTAAGAAATAAACAAAAATTAAAAATAAACATAAGAGCATTATAGTCTATATTGTAGAAATTATGAAGCAATATTTTTGATTAGTTAGCTAATTATAATTTATTTGTTTGATGTACAATATTGCAATTCCCCCAACTTTTAATACTTCTCTTGTTTATATTTAAAACACACACTTTTATATAATATGTTCCTTATTCATAACAGAAATGTATCATACTTTTTTAAACTAATTTGTATCATATTCCGTCTGATAACTATAAGCAATGTATACATTTTTATAGTTATCAAATGAAGTATGATACAAATTGTTGCTAACCTTCATTTGATAACAGTTTGTATTATACTTCATTTGATAAGAAATGTATAGTTTATACATTTTTATGGTTATCAAATGAAGTATGATAAAAATGTATATGTGGCTAACCTTGTAAAATGCTTTATAAAAATGTATGCATAACTATAATACTTTTTTTTTAACTATCATACTTAAATGCAACGTCAAACGCACATAAACGAAGTTCCCTTTGTCTCCTTGACAATTCTCAAAGTTTGGTTGAAGGGCAAAACAAATACAAATACTAAAAGATAAACTCTGACTTTGGTTCTTCAAATATCAGCCTTGAAGGTTATAGAAAATTTAGTAAGCATTTTAACAAAAAAAAATTATCAACAATATTTATATAAATATGAGATTCAAAACCAATGTGAGATTCAAAACCAATGTTTCACTTTGCTAAGAAGCAGAAGGAACGTATGAACATAGCAAGGCAGAACATATCCAGGGTTACCAGTTTGCTGGAAATACGAGGATGCTTGGAAACGTTTTGCTTCAAATCATCAAGAACTACATCAGGATTAATCTTTGTTTTGAACCCGATAGTGATGACGGTGCAGTAGTCGGTCCCAGTTGATGATTGAAAAACACGTGCCATCGGGCTGAGCGGCTCCTCCTCCTCCTTCCTCATTCTCTCTTTCTGCTTCTCTTATACGTATCTTCAGTATCTTGATCAATGTTTAGTTTGTCTTGATCAATGTTTGGTTTGTCTTGATCAATGTTTGTCTCTCATATTTCAGAGTGATCCATATTGTAAATTTATAAGTGACAAGTTGCATAGGTTCTTTTTGCCTTATCTGCATCTAACGTCATGCACGTTTGTATAGTAGATATATTAATAGTTTATCTATTGACTTTTTCTCACGATATCATATACATGGGTGGGTTTCATTGAGGAGGTGTGTTAAATAAGTAACATCTTTGCAGAGGACCAGAGGTTACGCGTATAAACGAAAGCGAAAACGTATACAACGATGCAACAATAAAAGTTCCATTAATTAAAAAAAAACAATAAAGTTCCTTAGTTAATTCAGGAGACAACTTGTATGATGTGTTAAAAGGCTCTGAAATCATGCATACTTTTGCTTTAACATGCATAATATAAAGTGTAATCCGGTAGATATAAATTTTTATTTGTTAAATTTATTATCTTATGCATTTTATTGTGACAATTTGGATTACAAGGTCTTTTTATTGGTTAATCTATTGATATATAATACATCTTAAACTATGAAATACATGGGTTTTTTTTCCAAAAACCTTTGAAATACATGGTTTGTCTGCATCTAACCTTTGATACAGTACTAGATAGAGTAATTAATAGTTTTCTTTTTGTAAAAGTAATTAATAGTTTATCTTGTGATTTTCTCACTATATTATATATCTGTCGATTCCATGTGTTAATATGTGACATCTTTAGAGAGGCTATGCGTATATTAACTAATACGAAAGAGATAACGTACAAGGATGCAATAAAAGTTCCTTAAACTTACGATAAGAACAAACTAAATTCCTTAATTAATACAGGAGACAACTAGGATATGAATTTATTAAAAAGGTGCTGAAACCATGCATGTTTTTGCTTTAATTTACATGCAGAAGGATCGAACCAGGTCTACCACATGAGTTGTGACCTAATTTGTGATATTTAATTTTAATAAAATAAACATCATATCTTTTATATGACCTTAATCCATTTTGCATTAATATAATTTATATTTCTATGAAACATAAACATCATATATATCTATATATTAACCAATGTTCCAGAAGTCACTAGGAAGACTTTGATTAGCAGAGCAGATAATAAAGCACCAGTATGCTGCAGAATTTGAATGTTCTCATTAAACTATTTTATAAAACGAGTGGTAAAACAGTAACAACATACTATTTAAAATTATTATAAAAGATTAATCTATAATACATAATATATTTATTTAAATAATATATTTATATATTGGATATATTCTAATATATAAATTAAGAAAACATATTTTTTATTAATAATATCATTAAATTATGTTTATATTCAAAAATAATATTTATATCTTAAAATAAAATTTAAAATTGCAACGTTTTAGTTTTAAAGGATATTTCACATTTATTTTAAATGTGAAGTATTATTATTTTAAAAATCATTGTAAAACTGTTTAAAAATATAAATTTTATTTTTGGATTTACACATATTTTATTATATTATTAATAAAAATAAATAAACTATATATATTTTAAAAATTATAAATACAAATGACTAAAAACTTCATATGAGAACATTATAAAAAGAGCAATTGAAGAACATTAATATTTGGTAAATGCTTTTCTAAATGCTTTTATAACCAACTAGAGTCTTTATTAGGTTAGAATCATAATTTTCAATACTATTTTTGGAGTGAGAACATTGTATTTTTTTTTAAAAAAAATATGAAAAACTTGGTGATTATTGAGTGTTTGTAATTTTCTATAAATAAAGAGAATAGTTTAAATGATCATAAATAATGTAAGAAAGAGATAATGTATTTTGGAAAAAAGAAGAGTATTAGCGCTAATGTGGACCATATGAGAGAAATAGTTTGAAAATAGTAAAGATTATGTTAGTTAACTCAAATTGAAAAAGATATCAAGACATCTTAATTCAAATAGAAAAGATACATGCATGAGTGAGTTACATAATAAAACACATTATGGAGATTGTTTACATGAGGAGACACATTGTGCTTGAGAGGCATTTTTTCTCTCTCTCTTCTTTATGTAATGACTAAAAGGACCTTTCCCTTGTTAACTGAATAAAGAGGAATAAAAGTGAAACTTTCGTTCGGTTTGGTTGTAATTGCGGGGACAACAATTTTCTTTTACTATATCCATATGTATCAAGTAGAAGACATAAACATAAGAGTAATTGATACACATACATACACACAACACATGGGTAACTTAAGATAGAAACACCATGAGATGAAGCAATGGAAATCAGAGTACACACAATAAACTACTGTCCACACAAGTTGGAGCAATAACTGCATGAAATGCAGCGACAATTTTGGCTACAAAGGTGACCACACACCATCTTGATGAGCTGAATACAGAGAGGAAATCCTCAGCATCAAAGGAGTGTGGAGTTGCAAGAAACATCACTTCCATACCACCAAATCAAGAGCTAGATAGCGAAGATTGGCTTTTGTAAAATCCTAGCTTTATGAAATATATCCCTGCAACATAAGTTAAGAATACCAACATACAAAAATATATTGCTCTTTCTCTTTTGGGGGTCTAATTTTCTTTTTATCTGACAGGACAAACTAATAGGAAGGGTTTTGCTATGTTTCTTGGTTCCTCTTTGAGTGAACATAAAAGGAGTAGATTACAAATAACAACCTCATAAAGAGGTAAGATAACTTCATATTGAAGTAAAAGAACTTCCCACAGAGGTAAGAGAGAGCTGAACCAAAACCTAAAAGTCTCATAGTGAAGTAAACTATGGGTACAAGAAAACACAAAATCTACGTACTGAGGTAGTGGGGGGGGGGTGATCGTTACCCTGGAACTACAACAGAAACCAACTAGTTTTGACTCCATAGAAGGTTATAAAGACCCTACATTTTCGTCCACTTCCACCACATCTACATCCACCACAAACGCCACTATTTCCACATCCACATCCATCTCCACTGCAACCACAACCTCTTCGTCCACTGCCACCATCATCTCCACCACGACCTACACCACAACCACCTCCACGGTATCCATCACAAACCCCACTATTTTCACATCAACCTCCACTGCAACCGCAACCTCTTCATCCACAGCCACCACCATCTCCACCACAACCTACACCACAACCACCTCCACGGTATCCACCACTGCCTCCCCATAACCACCACCACGACCTCCACCATTACTAGTTTTTTTACACTGGACTGAACTAGTTTTGGAACTCAAATCTCCTTTTGTTTCTTCGCTGGAAGAAGAAGAAGAATAACGACTTAAAAGACAATATACAGTTTTAACGAATCGGTTCAAACACACAAAGAAATTATCAAGAAAAGATAGCCAGAAGAAACCTAGCCTCTTGAACAAGGCGAGAGTCGGCGATTCTTCGATTTCGATTCACGAGCCATGAGGAAGCCGATGATGTGAGACTAAGATGTGGAAAGTGAAGATGGTGAGAGACGGTGAGATTTACCAATGCAAGACGATGTCGTTTTTCGACGAGTTGTTTCCCGAGACGGAGATGGTAGAAACGAGTGAGGTTGAAGAGACGAAGATGGTAGAAACGAAGAGCCGATTCAATGAAAAGATTTGTTGATGAGATTGAGAATTAAAACGGCGGACATGGATACGGATTCATTGTGTTCTTTGTCAAATTAAGGTTCACAGTTGGATTTGGGGGTTTCGTCGAGATGTGAATGATAGCTTTTGTTTGCTTTATTTTATCGCTTTATGCGTTTTTTTTTTAGGATCTCTTTAGTTGGACAGAGGAGAAAGGAAGAGTTAGGAGTAAGAAGGGCTTAATAGACTTTCCACAAGCACAAAGTGTGTCACCAGCAAATTGTGCTCCCATGTGTAATTTTAAAGACAAAATGTGTCCTAGAATGTAAATTTCTCAAGATACATACATGGCCTAGTTGGATAGAGACTAGGTATAAGTCATTCTTTATGTGATCGTACTTTCCTTTGATTGATATGTTGCGCATTGTAAATCTATTGAATGATGGAAGCTTATAAGAACATATTTTTATCAATACTTAATTTTTAATATGAAATTTTAAATTTAAAACATATTTTTAAATAGGTTTATTTAAGAGTATTTTAGATAAAAGAATGTTTGGCAAAAATAACAGACTTATGTGATGCTATAAACCAGGTTGATTGGGTTCCACAAAATATTATCTTTTGTTTCTTTCATTATATTTTTTGGTAGTAAGAAGTATGCGATAAATAAAGGATCACCACTGGATTTTAACTTGACTTGTCACTGGCAGATTCTTATATCCAAATACACAACCTAGAGCAATCCATCTATATATAACTCACTCGTTAAAAATGTAAATTTTAAAAAACCTAAGAGATAAATAAGGAAAAATATTATTTAAAATATTGTAAGATATTCTTTAACGCTTATCATATATATCATATTTTTTTTTAATATTTGAACAATGAGGATGATCTTACATCTAACAAGCTTATATTAGAAAGGATGAATGTCATTGGTTCAAAGCATCATTTCTACACAGTTTTTAGTGTAATTCGGATATTGTAAGTTTTTGACCATGAATTATAATATTTTAATACATTTTCTTTCTTTCAGAAATTCATGTTAAAATTGATTTTAATTTTAATTTTTTTCCAGAGATTTTCCTATTAAAGTAATATTATTATTATTTTTGATTATACAAAGCTTCAGATTTAGGATGATGACGTTTTACTCTTCCTCGTTGTTGATCAAACCATGGACACATTCGCTTTGATTGTTTTTGTTCCAAGCTATTACAGAACTCGTTGTCACTGGCTCCTTCTCGCTGCAGCGTTTCTACTGGGACGTTTTGTTGCGGCTAGAAAGTGCAAGTAACCGAATTTTTAATCACTGTATATAGTAAACAACAGGCTTTACTTGATGGGCCATTTGCATTAGACAATGGTAAGCTTGTGGTATAAAGGGGTTGCTCTTGGGGATCACAAGGAATAGTCAGATGTGTCACTGCAAAACATAGAGAGGGAAGGAACTTTTGGAAGCCAGAAAGTGCAAGAATCGAATATCCAATCACTGTATAATAAATATAGTCTAAAAGGTTGGTAAAGGCTTTACCTGATGGACCATTTGCATATGGCATTGGTAAACTTGAAGCACAAAGGAGTTGTTGAATTAGCTGCTCATTAGGCATCTGCCACTGAACAACTGAAAAAAACCAGAGACATAGTCTTTGGAGATTAAAAAAGAATGCAAAAAAGTTTAATTTTCAATTACTGAGTAACAATATCAAAGTTTGTAAAGATTTACTTGATGGAACATTTGGATTAAGCACTGAAAAGCTTGCAGAGTTAAGGACTTGATAATAAGGGTTCTGCGTTTGTGCAACTGCACAAAAAGAGAGAGACATAAGGAAGTATTAGGAGGTAAAAAAGCAAGAAACCGAACTTTAAAGCATTGAGTTTAGTACCAAAGTTTTGTCAGGCTTTACCTGATATACAACTTGCATATGGCTGGATTAAGGACATGATATTGGTGATCATAAGGATTTTGAGACTGCAACTGCAGAAAAGAGAAAGACAATATTTGGAGGTAAACAATGCAAGAAACCGAACTTTGAAACCCTGAGTATAGTACCAAAGCTTGTGAGGCTTTCACCTGCTTGACCATTTTCATAAGGCAATGCTGAGCTTGCAGAACTCAGTTTTCTCTTGTAAGCTACACAATGCAAAGAGAATTCAAAAGACTCATTAGAGTTTTTACATGTTGATTTACCTAACGTCTTCAGAAGATGAACTCTTGCAGGATGTTGATGAAGAAGAGTCTTGACCGCAGCTGCACAAAGACAAAAACATAACCAAATCTAAGTAGATGAATCCAATATGATACAATAAATATTAGTGTGTGTGTGTGTGTGTGTGTGTGTGTGTGATATACGTACGTGAAGCATCACAAATATCAAGAAGACCATTCTCGAACATCCGAACAGCTTGCTTAGTCAGTATATCACTGAACATCCTCATCTGAAGAGCCATTTGGCATCTCAGGTTAAAGTAATTGAAGAAAACTGGATTCTCTTTCCGAAGCTGCTTCCAAACTAAGAAGAGAGAATAAAAATCAAAACTTTATTCAGAACCCATTGATGGAATCAAATAAAATAGCCAACTTTGCTAAATTTTTTACCTCTATGGGTGAGATTTTTACTAATCTGGTGATTCTTTTCATGATACTTAGCGGTTCTTTCAAAGCTCATGTAATTTTGAATACAGAGCTCAACCTTGTTCCTCACCTGAAACAGAGCAACGATAACATAGATGAAAATAGAATATGTAAAAAAAGAGTATGTCACGAGGTTTGTGATCATTACGTAGTATGAGACGTCTGAAGCGTGACATAGTTTTTCCATAACTGTGGAATATTTCTGAAAAAAATAGACTATCTCTTTCTCTTTGACAGAGTATGTAAAAACAGAGTATGTCACGAGGTTTGTGATCATTACGTAGTATGAGACGTCTGAAGCGTGACATAGTTTTTCCATAACTATGGAATATTTTTGAAAAAAAATAGACTATCTCTTTCTCTTTGACTTAATGAAGATTTTTTCATGTCGATAAAGATTCACAAACACATAAGGAAACATATCTAATTTAGTTGAAGTTTATCTCATGCTCACGAACATAACAAAAAAAAAAAAAAAACTAAAAATCTTCAGCAAATGCTCATAGAAAATATGTCAATAATTTTTGCAGCCTACATGATTCAACCCAATGCTTTTTGATATGCATTAGAAATTTATTTCTAATAGTCAAGAAAGATATCTCAAAATGCAAATATGAAACACAATACCTGATTTTTTCGTACATTTAAAACAAAATCAAAGTAATATATATGAGAAATTCCTACCTTTGCTTCAAGGGAGATATGAGAATATCTTTGAAGTTTCTAATTCATACAACACTCTTCACGTCAATACACAGAAACAAACAATACCTGAGTAGCCATGGGATCAGAATCATCATCTGAATGATCTCCAGACTTCTCAAATCTCAAATCTCTTGACCAAAGCCTTTGAAAACCAAAAAAATCCTTCTTTTTTTACAATTTCCATCTCAATTCAAAACCAAGAAGAAAAAACAAAGCGGATCTTTTTTTACAATTTCCTTCTCAATTCAAAAAAAAAAAGAGAATAAAGCTTTAACTAATACTAACCTGAAGCTCCCTATAAGATCTGACATCTTCCCATTCTTCACCAGAATCTTTCATGTATTACCTTCACACCCCAAAACACAAATAAGTCAAAAAGGGGTTTAAATAAATCTCCATGGCCATTTTCGAGAAACCCGAGAAGTGAACCAGATGGAAGCTCAACTTGGCTTCTTGTGGCCAAGAGAAACATCTCTGAAGAACATTACTTGGTCGCGATGCACGGAGGAGAGAGCGGTAGCAGCGTTTGATGTCATCAGAGTGGCAGATGAAACAGCAGCCTTGCCTTGACGTTTCATTACAATCGCGGTATAATAAATGAGATATATAAATAGAGAAATAGAGAGGAAGGTGAAAGGAATCAATTGAATGATTTCTTAAATGAGTTCAACAGAAGAGAAGATGTGGAAGTTGAAAGGTAAGAAAAGCACGAAATTAGGGATTGAAGAGGAACACGGGAAAAATGTAGCTTCCTCCCCCCTCTGTAATAAACCAATAATCAGATTAGAAAGTCGAACCGAAAATTAAACCGAGTCTTCAGCTGAGTAAACTAAACCGAAATGACATGGATTATTATATAATATTATTGGCTGATTATTTTAGTTGAGGTGGCATATCTAAGAGAGCTTTATTAGCCCCTTTTAATAGTGTTAGATATTGATTGGATAATAATAAGCATCATGCTTATGCTAATGCTCTGCTAATTAAGACCTAACTAGGCGCTTTATAGGAGATTATTGATTACACAGACACCTAAACCGATTTTTTGAAAATCTAAATCCATTTTAAAAAAAAAAATATTGCGTTGAGACCCGATTTACCGCTTATGCGTCATGTAGACTGACTTTTAGAACACTGATAATAACTAACTTTATTTTGGTGTAAATGTTTTCATATTAGAATTATAATCCGTATATAGATGTAAATATAAATTTATTGAGAATCAGAATAAGATAATTATTTCAGTTAATTCTCCTTATATCTATCGTTTTGGCTTTAATATTAATATCTAAAAATAATTAATCTGCTTAGGTGATGATTAGTTGTGATTTTTCTATTTCCAAAAACCAAAATTCATCTAATCAAAATCTAGCTTTTAATTTTTGTAAAATCTGTTTCATTTGTCAATCAAGAATATAATAAATATATTCTCTAGAATTTAGAGAGATAAGTTTTTGAAAATTTTAACCAATTTATGAAGAAGCCAAAAACCAACTTTTGCGAGCTTTAATAAAAAAGAAAAATTGTTTCCTTTTGTAGAAAGTACAACATTTTAATTAACTAATCCTTGGTATTTTCATAAAGATAAATTCTCATATAATTTTTGTACATAATATATCATTTAAAAATAATGTAAAATAATTTCTTTGTGATCCACATCTATAAAATACTTTTAGATATTTATATGTAATATTAATTAGCTGTAAATAATTAGTTATCAATTTGTATAAGTAAAAAATTATCGAATAATAAATATTAAAAATATTAAACAATAACTAAAATCATAAAGAAATTTTTTTTGTTAAAAAAATTATAAAAACATAATACGTTCTATCAATACAATATATTCTATTCATTTAAAAATAAAATTCCCATTCATTTTTTAAAAAGTAAAGTAATTTTTATAAGAAAAATATATAAATAGTTTCAGAATTTTAATGATTTTAATTTTATAGAATTTATAGATATTTTATAATATAAAAAAAGAAAATAATTTAAAACATATTAAATTTTTTAATAAAAATCATTATATTTTGATAATTTTAATGGTAACTTCTTATATTTTAGTTTTATTTTTGTATTATTTAAAATAATGTATTGCCTATTGTTTTTGCAAAAACTAAAAATATAGAAAAGCCAAAAATCAAAATCCAAAAACAAAAACCAAAACCAAAACCCAGATCTGAAATTAAAAAAAAAAACCTGAAAGTCAAAAACCAAAATCTAAAAATCAAAAATTAAAACCAAAACTAGTTTAAACAAATCAACACCTTAATATGTTTGCAAATCGTCAAAGTTTGTTTTTAGTGTTTCTTATTCAAAACTAGAATTTGATTGCAGAGATGTTTGTATTACTTTTATTGGTCCAATTTATATTAGTTCCTTTTAAATATTTTGTAATGGTTTTGAGTCACCGGTATCACATAACTAAATTACAAAAAAATAATAATTCTAAAACTATGCAATCCAAACCATATTTGACTTTCATATTATATTTTGAACAAAATTACATCTTTTAACAGAATGATATAAATCTTTCTTATTTCATTAGATAAAAACTAAATATACTTACAAGAAACATATTTTTAAGAACGGGAATTTATCAAATATGAATCAAAACATAGTTTTGATTGCAAATCTATACCCAAACTGGAATCAAATGCAAAATTAACCTAAAAGCCTTGTAAAATTACATTCAGTCCCTTGTGACCATACAAAAAAACAGAAGTTATTTTTTACGAATATAGTCTCGGTATGTCATCTGAAATGTTAGAAGTCGTCTAGACGACTTCCAAGTTAGTCGTCTGATGTATTTGATCTTAAAAATAATTTATAAATTAAATTAAAAAAATTGACAAGTGAAAAATTAAAATCATGTAATTATAAACAGTTTTAAGTGATGTGAGTAAATTAAGCTATAATCACATTGAATAGTTTTCAACATAGATGAGCGAAAGTAATTAATCATGATATTTTTAGGTTTTAGGGTTTGACAATATACGTTGTAATATTGTATGTATTCTTAAGGTTAGATTTTGGAAAGCTTGAATATTTTTTTTAAATTAAATTTTTACTTATATGTGTTTATTTCTGTGTATAGTAAAAACTTTTTAAGTTTAGTTTGATTTATAAAATGTTTAGTTAATTAATTAAGTTTAGGGGTTATGTTCAGGGTCTAGACGACTAACTTGTAAATCGTCTAGTGAATAATTTAAACCAGACAACTTATATGCAAGTCGTTCTAATATTCTCACCTAAAATTTATTTTTCCGCTTAAATATTTTAGTTTCCCACTAAGAATATTAATTTTTCTGTACGACTTACAAGTAAGTCATCTATCTTCTAGACGACTTACAAGTAAATCATCTGAATCAAAAATATTTAACCTAATTGGACTTTTTGTTTCACTATATAAAAAAAATTTACACATTTGCTCTCCTTCTCTCAAATGGCTGCAATAAAAATGTAATGTTCATCATTCTAAAACTCTCCAACCTCTCTCTAATCTCTTTGAACTCATAAACACCAAATTTTATATCAATTTCTTGTTTTTTCTCATATCTTTCTCACTAATTTATCTTGTTTTTGCATGTTTTTCATCACATGGTTCTCATCTGCCACTCATTTAAAGGTAAATCTATTAACTTTAGATATGTATTTTTGTGTGTTCTATAAAGGTAGATTTATCTAATCTTCCACTCATTTTCTCTGTTTTTAAGCCATTTAAACGTTTTTGGATATGCAGGTTTTTCAAATCTAGATTTGGATATGCAGGTTTTTCAGATCTAGATTTGGATATGCAGGTTTTTCAGATCAAGAAGACTTCTGGGACGACTTACATGTTAGTCGTCTAAAATATAATGCGCTAGAAGACTTTCAGGAAGTCTTCCAGACGATTTCCAGGAAGTCATTCGGACGACTTCCAGAAAGTCTTCCAGACGATTTCAAGGAAGTCTTCTGGCGGAGTCTTCTCCCATGACTCTCCTTTTCATAACAGATCTGTGTGTTTTTATAAATTTTTTTGTCTGATATTTCTTCATTTGGTAACTCTTGTTGCATAAAGTTCTTATATTTTTCCCAAACTAAAACTCTCCAAACCTACTATAAGCTCTTTGACTTGAAAACACCAAACTTTATATGAATTTTTCAGTTTTGTCTCATGTCTTTCTCACTAATTTATCTTTTATTTTGTTGGTTTTTCAGAGCTGGGTTTGATATACATGTTTTCCATATATGTATCATACTTTGGAAGACTTATGGGAAGTCTTCTCAGAAATCTTCTAAAATATAATGCGCTAGACGTCTTCCACAATGTCTTCCAGACGACTTCTAAGAAATCTTTCAGACGACTTCCCGGAAATTTTCTAGACGACTTCCTCCAAGAAGTCTTCCAGACGACTTCCATGAAGTCTTCAAAAGGACTAATATATAATGATCTATAATAGTTTTGTTTGTGATATGTTTTGTGATTTGCATGTGTACTCCTTTAATTGTTATTTTTTCTGTAAAATTAGTAATAATATTCCCAAAATGTAATATATATATATACTAACAATGTGTTTACACATTTACAAATCAATAAAATAATAAACTTCAATAGCATTCTTCTCATCTTTGGATCTCTCATATGCAACAATAAGCTCCAATGACCTTTTTCTCATCTTAATAAACTAGAATTTTGTTAGCCTCCTAGTGATACAACATTTTAACCCTTCTTCCAAATCATAACAATAATTATCATTAGTGTCTATAAGATGGAAACAAACAATAGTAACTAGTCAAAGCATATCATAGTCTTTACTAGTTTGTGTTAAAAAACTTAGTCAAATTTAGTAAAACCAAGGAAGATAACATATTTAGAAAATATGAGTTTTACATATCTTGAAGTTACTTAACACTCTTAAAAATACATGTTATTCAAAACCTAGCACTTCCTAGAAACTTTAATTAACATGAAGGTTAGTAACCTCATAAGTATCACCAATTAAGTTATAAATTTCATTCAGTAGCCATAATATTGACTAATAAACATGAATTAACAAAAAAACATTAAAAAATCTTTATAGGTTTACACATAATGAAAGTTTATTAAACATTGACGCAGACTACTTCCACGGAGGTCGTCTGGGAAGTCGTCCATTTAGTAACCTCATAAGTATCACCAATTAAGTTATAAATTTCATTCAGTAGCCATAATATTGACTAATAAACATGAATTAACAAAAAAACATTAAAAAATCTTTATAGGTTTACACATAATGAAAGTTTATTAAACATTGACGCAAACTACTTCCACGGAGGTCGTCTGGGA